CTCACCCCTTTTCCGCCCTCTCCTCTTCTTTTCCCTCTCCTCCTCTCTTCTAAGCCCTCATCTCCCCTCACCCCCCTCGGGCCAACAGGTGTAACAGACACAAAAACACCATAAGACTCAGTACAATAAGGGTTTAAGTTCATTTTTTGTCGAATTAGTGACCTCCGCCTCCACCGACCTGACTGATAGAAGGGATATATTGTATGTAACCTAACCTAACCTAACCTTACCCGCCAGGTAGCATTAATCATCAGTTGAAATAAGCTGAGGGACTAATCTTCAGGTGCTGAGGGTGTGGTGGTGCTGAGGGTGTGGTGGTGCTGAGGGTGTGGTAGTGCTGAGGTGTGTGGTGTGCTGAGGGTGTGGTGGCGCTGAGGCGTGTGGTGGTGCTGAGGGTGTGGTGGTGCTGAGGGTGTGGTGGTGCTGAGGGGTGTGGTAGTGCTGAGGGTGTGGTAGTGCTGAGGGTGTGGTGGTGCTGAGGGTGTGGTAGTGCTGAGGGTGTGGTAGTGCTGTGGTAGTGCTGATGGTGTGGTAGTGCTGAGGGTGTGGTGGCGCTGAGCTTGTCACCTGTTACTGCCAAATTACAGGTAAGATGCCACACATACCTGGCCGGGGGGCGTGAGGGAGGGAAGGAGGAGGTAAGTGGATGGGTAGAGAGGGAGAGAGAGAAGGGGAGAGACGGAGAGACGGAGAGAGGGAAGGAGAGAGACGGAGAGAGGGAAGGAGAAGGAGGTATGGTGGAAGGAAGGGAGGAAAGAAGGAGGGTAGGAAGAGAGATAGAAGGAGGAGGGAGGAAAAGAGTTGAGATAGAAGGAGGAAGGAGATGGAGAGGGAAGGAAAGAAGGGGAAAGGAGAGTGAGGGAGGGAGAAGAAGAGGAGGGAAGGAAGAAAGAGAGAGGCAGGGAACACTCAACCTTCTTGTGTTACCCCTGAGTGCTGAGACTCTCTCTCTCTCTCTTAGTATCGACAAGCAATAAATTATAATACACACGCACACACACACACACTTATCAACTAAACTCAACAATATTACATAAATATTGAGAAACATAGAAGTTGGTGTCAGTACAGGTAAAGGTCACCCACTGTTACATGAAGTGAATATCCTAGTAAATTAACAAACGACCGCTTGATTACAGTCGCTTCATGTTGCATAGTTTTCGACACAATATTGCAATGGAGATTATATGTACTGTATTTTATTATTATTATTATTATTATTATTATTATTATTAACATACAAGGCACGCCATCTATTGACTGTAATCTGCACTAAGTCCCATAGCTTGTGTTGCTTCCCTGCGTCACCGGCCACACAGACTTGCGTCACCTAGTACGTCAACGAGTTGCTTATATACGTCAATGAGAACACGAGTCAAAATCTTTCCCTGTATCGTCGACACAGGAAATATTTCTTAATTAAATAAACTCTAACGTCAAGAGGTACTTTTTTACGATAATTATTGATGGTCGAATAAGGAAAACATGTAACTAACGTTTTGTTGAGGGAAAATGCATTTGTTTTCATTATTTATTTGCCTCATAATGTTTTGAGTAAAGTATTTATAATTTTATTTGGATTTTAAGAACAAATTCACCTTAAAATAAGTTCCTCTCCAATTTTTATATTAATTTTTCAAGAAGTTGTTTCCTGTTTCCATTTTTTAATTGCGTGAAAAAGACATAATTGCGATCACCTGAAGATTAGCCCCCAGCTTATTTCACCTGACGATTAAACACCCTGCCACTAACCTAACCTAACCTAACCTAACCTAACCAGAAACTTGTCATTAGATACAAAACTAGTCCGTAACACAAGGGAAATCAAACGATATTGACAAAAGCTTCCAGGAAATTTTACCTGCAACTGTATACACACACGACAATATAATACATTTTGAGAGAAATAGGTACGGTACATAGAAATACACAGAGTAGGTGACGGTACAGAGAAATACCAGAGTAGGTGACACAGAGAAATACATAGAGTAGGTACAGAAATACACAGAGTAGGTGACAGTACAGAAATACATAGAGTAGGTGGTGACGACGTACAGAGAAATACACAGAGTAGGTGACGGTACAGAGAAATACAGAGTAGGTGACGGTACAGAGAAATACATAGAGTAGGTGACGGTACAGAGAAATACATAGAGTAGGTGACACAGAGAGAGTAGGTGACGGTACAGAGAAATACATAGAGTAGGTGACGGTACAGAGAAATACATAGAGTAGGTGACGGTACAGAGAAATACACAGAGTAGGTGACGGTACAGAGAAATACACAGAGTAGGTGACGGTACAGAGAAATACACAGAGTAGGTGACGGTACAGAGAAATACACAGAGTAGGTGACGGTACAGAGAAATACATAGAGTAGGTGACGGTACAGAGAAATACACAGAGTAGGTGACGGTACAGAGAAATACACAGAGTAGGTGACGGTACAGAGAAATACACAGAGTAGGTGACGGTACAGAGAAATACACAGAGTAGGTGACGGTACAGAGAAATACATAGAGTAGGTGACGGTGACAGAGTAGGTACAGAGAAATACACAGAGTAGGTGACGGTACAGAGAAATACAGAGAAATACATAGAGTAGGTGACGGTACAGAGAAATACATAGAGTAGGTGACGGTACAGAGAAATACACAGAGTAGGTGACGGTACAGAGAAATACACAGAGTAGGTGACGGTACAGAGAAATACACAGAGTAGGTGACGGTACAGAGAAATACACAGAGTAGGTGACGGTACAGAGAAATACACAGAGTAGGTGACAGTACAGAGAAATACACAGAGTAGGTGACAGTACAGAGAAATACACAGAGTAGGTGACGGTACAGAGAAATACACAGAGTAGGTGACGGTACAGAGAAATACATAGAGTAGGTGACGGTACAGAGAAATACACAGAGTAGGTGACGGTACAGAGAAATACATAGAGTAGGTGACGGTACAGAGAAATACACAGAGTAGGTGACGGTACAGAGAAATACAGAGGTTAAGGTTCACCGCTCGTGTTACATAGAGTCATTGATCAGTTTGTTATGTAATTCTTAGAACGGAATTGTAATCATTCTGTAACTTTGGTGTCAAACTGTTTCATATTTTTGTATTGTGTAAATATTAATGTATATGTTAACAATGTACCAATCTAAACTATAAACATTTTAGTGAGAATGAAATTTTTTGAATATAAATTTTGATTCATTTGAAGAGTCGCCGTCACACAACTTAACCATAACCTAACTCGGAATTAACTTAACTATACTCTAATTCACCTAACTAAAGAAGGACACTAACAAGAGTAGTTAAGGAACACGTTAATAACCTCACTTGTCAACGAGGGTTCAGTTTTGCTGACGTAATGTTCCAAAAGGTCAGAGGTGAGAGTATTACCAAACAAACACGGATGGAGATTAGACTTATTTGTTTCCTAGGAGGCTCTCTCTCTCTCTCTCTCTCTCTCTCTCTCTCTCTCTCTCTCTCTCTAGCTGTCTATCTATCTATCTATCTATCCTCTCTCTCTCTCTCTCTATCTCTCTCTCTCTCTCTCTCTCTCTCTCTCTCTCTCTCTCTCTCTCTCTCTCTCTCTCTCTCTCTCTCTCTCTCTATCTATCTTCTCTCTATCTCTCTCTCTCTCTCTCGTCAGCAGGTGCTCCTCGACTCACCTGGCTGACGTCATCACCACTTAAAGCTGACCTAGGCCAAGGGTCACACGTGCTGACCTTTGACCTCTGTGTGTATTACGTCAGTCGGGAGAGAGAGAGAAAGGGAGGAAGAGAGAGAAAGGGAGGGAGAGAGAGATGAGGGAGGAAGAGAGAGAAAGGGAGGGAGAGAAAGGGAGGGAGGAAGAGAGAAAGGGAGGGAGAGAGAGATGAGGGAGAAAAGAAGGAGAGAGAGAAAGAGGTATAGAGAGCGAGGTAGAAAGTGAGAGAAAAGAGGGAGAAACAGACAGACGGAGACAGATAATGAAAGAGAGAGAGGGAATAGACAGAGTGTGTGTGTGTGTGTGTGTGTGTGTGTGCGTGCGTGCGTGCGTGCGTGCGTGCGTGCGTGCGTGCGTGTGTGTATGTGTGCGTGTGTGTGCGTGTGTGTGTGTGTGTGTGTGTGTGCGTGCGTGTGTGTGTGCGTGCGTGTGTGTGTGCGTGTGTGCGTGTGTGTGTGTGTGTTTAAGTCTGTTGTTGTCAGAACCTTTTTTATGGATATTAATAAAATTTCGTTGTTTTTATTTTTGTTTTTGTAGTTTCATATAAAATAAATTTATTATTATATTACAGAGACAGAAACACGGACAGATAGATCAAGACAGACAGACAGACAGACAGACAGACAGACAGACAGACAGAAACAAATTTAAAAAGTGAATCAAAGAGAAGAAAATATACATAATCATTAATATATACAAGAGATATACAGACATATACTGTATTCATATATAATCATTCACAATAACAGACCTATATTTTAAAATACATAAACATTAATACCAAACAGAAGACTCTTAAAGTAATTATAGTTTCATAGTCTTGTCAACATTTCCAAGCAGTAAAAAAATAATACCTAAATAATGGCTTAAAACTTTAACTATTGACAAAAACAAACTCTTAGACTATGAAGGAAAGAAGAAGTTTATTTTATCTCATATGAATTTTTTTCTTTAACATAAAAACTTTATTTATGAAAGTTGCAACAAATTTTCATTCTCGGATGTGATGAAACTTTTGGGGGATCGAACTGGTAGCTTTGAGCAGGTACAATTATGACGGCAGGGTGTGTTAGTGGTGTGTTAGTGGTGTTAGAGGTGTGTCAATGGTGCGATAGTGGTGTGTTAAAGGTGTTAGTGGTGTTAAAGGTGTGTTAGTGGTGTGTTAAAGGTGTGTTAGAGGTGTGTCAATGGTGCGACAGTGGTGTGTTAAAGGTGTTAGTGGTGTTAAAGGTGTGTTAGTGGTGTGTTAAAGGTGTTAGTGGTGCGTTAGTGGTGTGTTACAGGTGTTAGTGGTGTTAGAGATGTGTTAGTGGTGCGTTAGTGTGTGTTAGAGGTGTGTTAATGGTGCGTCAGTGTGTGTTAGAGATGTGCTAGTGGTGTTATTATGGAGTGTTAATGACGTAATAGTGAAGTCTTGGAGGAATATCACAAGTAATCTAGTTCTTGACCGCCTCACAGCCCTGACACTTGCAGTCGACAACATTATCAAAGGATTTATTAAAGGTAAAACCATCATCACACACCAGAGGGATGCGAATCGTCTCAATGGCTCCTGGCTGACAGCTCTTACAGTCGTTACCTTGACTCCAGATTCCCGCCTTACGCTCTGCAAGAGAAAACAACAAAGGATTTGTAACAGAAAGATAAATAAGAAAGTCTCCCTCTCAAACATCTGTGAATCTCCGGGTTTTTTTCATTTTCTATAGTACGCGTTGTTATTATTGTTTTTATTGTTATTATTATTATCATTATTATTATTATTATTATTACTATTATTTTTATTATTATTATTATTATTAACTTATTTAATATCACGAAAATATGCAGTGATTGTGTTTATGGGGTATTGATGGGGTATCTAGGGCAGTAATGGGTTACCCTGGGCAGTAACGGGATACCCTGGGCAGTAATGGGATACCCTGGGCAGTAATGGGATAGCCAGAACTTACCTATAAAGGTCTTGGTGGCGCAGTAGCCCAGACAGTAGCGGATGGGCACGGTGATGGGGTGTCTATTAGAACAGTGGCCATGGTTATAAGACATCATATAGAACATACCGATAGTCGTGTGGTCATCCATCACCTCAGCCCGACATTCTCCTGTAACTCAAAGATTATTCTGTTACCGTAAGGGTGAGAGAGGGGCAGGCAGACGGAGGGGAGGGTGAGAGAGGGCAGGCAGACGGAGGGAAGGGTGAGAGAGGGCAGGCAGACGGAGGAAGGGTGAGAGAGGGGCAGGCAGACGGAAGGGTGAGAGAGGGGCAGGCAGACGGAAGAGGGGGCAGAAACAAATAGGTAGAAAGACAGAAAAAGAGAGACAGACAGAAAGACTGAGACGGGGAAATAGAGTGTGTGAATAGACAGTATGTGTCTAGGGGGGACGGGTAGAGAAACACAGAGACAAACAGACAGAGAGACAGAAACAGAGACGGACAGAAAAAGAGGTAAAATTATCATATAATTTCACATTGGTTCAAATGGAAGACAAACAAATGGACAGAGAAAAAGATAGAGACAGATGGAATGAGAGAAAAAGTGATAAACGACGATAAAAATAAACAGAGAGAGGGCGAATGAAAGACAAGAGAAATTTACCAACAGAAAGAAATAGCGAATGAGACTCAGTAACACAATTTACGATATAAATAAAAAGAAGGAAATGAATATATATATATATATATATATATATATATATATATATATATATATATATATATATATATATATATATATAGTATTCATATTTACGTAAAGTTGAAAATTTTGTTGGTTTTGCTTATATTTCTTGACGCCATAAAACCATTCATATTAACCTTTCTTAGGACCTGTATCTTCCTCTTCATTATGTCGGATTATCTCTTCTTTCTCCTTTTCCTTCTGTTCTTCTTTTTCCTCTTTTGGCTCTTGTGTCGTTGTTTCATCTTCCTTTTCTTCTTCTTTCTCCTGCTGGTTTGATAAATCTCTCTCCACAATACCTGTTAAAAGTACTTTAGTTAGTCATCTAAACAATTAGTTTTCTTTGATAGTCATACTTTCTTTTATTTATGATATTTTTATGCATAACTAAATCAAAAACTTTATAAACTTACAGAATGATGATTATTAATAATATTACAGATATTCATAGTTTCCACCCCATATTTTTTCACTTGGTGATTGGCCACCCTAAAATTATTTATGAGGCTGAGGTTAGGTTAGGTCAGCTTAGGTTAAGTTAGGGGGTTAATCCTTAAGTGAAATAGGCGTTCTATTCTTTTTTTCTCATTATTTTACTATTTCTATAATTATATTTCCTACATAATACATAAAAATGGAGTAAACTGCAGCGGGCCATACTGGGTAGTTCCGTTTACACCCAACCCCTATTGCTCATATATCCACCCAACCTGTGTTTGAAGCTACCCAGCGTATTCCAGTTAATGATGATATTTGGTAACTTGTTCCACTCATCCACTACTCTATAAAAATTAAACATAGATGGATAACGTAGAGTATAATAATGTATATAACAAAGATTATAATAATGTATATAAACAGACCTGCGCCGGTAGACAGAGCCAGCCAGACGTCTTCACTCCTCTTAAATTCCTCCATAAACGCCAGGACTTGACTCATCTGTTGCTGCAGCGCCGCCATACTCGCGCTGGCTCTCGCCTCTGCCTGCACGGGATAAAGGTGGCGAATCTGGCGTTAACTGACCCTTTTACACATGCTCTCATACCTGACTCCCCACACACTTGACTCTCACACACCTGACTCACCAAACACCTGACTCATCGCACACCTAACTCACCACATACCTGACTCATGACTCACCACACACCTGACTCACCACACACCTGACTCACCACACACCTGACTCACGACTCACCTCAGCAGACAACTCCTGTAGCCACGTTTTGTCCGCCTCCTCCAGGTTACACAGGGACTTCCCCCAGTCGAGTGTGTGGGCGGGCAGGACACACACGCCCACCACCGCCACACACGCCCACATACGCCAGCCCACGCCCATCACTCTCTCCTGCACCGGTGGATAAATAATGGAGATAATAAACTGGAATAAATAAGAGAATGTTGAGTAATTGGTGAAAATGGCATAATGAAATAGGTACAGTATACGTCTCTCTCTCTCTCTCTCTCACCATTACTACGTCTCGTCACCCACCACCACACTTAACCACTACACTAACATACTTAACAAAAGTGTCAACAATGGGAGTTATTCTGGGCTGCCACCCTTCAACACACTTAACACTTATAAAAGGATTCTTAAGTCTTTCAAAGTCTCAGTAATATTCCTATACAGTGAAGTGACTTTTACAGGTAACTGGTGATGTAAAGATGAAACATAACAACATAGTAACATAACATAGCCTGTAACACAACATAACGGACCAGCGACTCTTAGTACAGGAAGTAAGTATTGTACCAGCTCATCCATTGCACATATAAAATAAATTAATAAAATGTAAAATTTCGATATATAACTCACTATCGGGGTATCCAAGGTCCTTCCACTACGGTGAGGTCGAGGGACGCGTTACTCTGACTTCCAAGACCTGATGCAAGACTGACTATTTATTAGGGTTTCCCGGCTTTAAGTACACCTGGGCCAGCTGGCTATGTTGACAGATTACTACAAACAGTACTGCCTACCATGGCTATTATTATTATTAATATTATTATTAGTAGTAGTAGTAGTAGTAGTAGTAGTAGTAGTAGTAGTAGTGTTTTTTTCTTTGTAGTAGTAGTATCACCAGTCATTATTATTATTAGCGTGTACACTTCCTCAGTACAACATCACGTGTACACTTCCTCGGAACATCACGTGTACACTTCCTCAGTACATCACGTGTACATTTCCTCAGTACAACATCACGTGTAGGCATCACATGTACACTAATCAAAATAATCCACAACTATGGGTATAGCTAACACAATAAGCGAAGCCTGTAAAGGAAGGAGGAAACAGGGCATCACAAGTATGACCCACACCACCCACACAGTCAATGAGTCTAAATCAAAAACAAAGAATTTGGACCTTAACGTATTAATGGTTGAGACGGAGTACCTGTGTTGACAAATCTCAGCTGATCTAATTAAGAACATGAGGCAGCCATACAGGTACCTCACTCTGGTTTTCGTCTGGCGATAAATCTAAGTTCATCACTTTAATACCAACATAAACCATTTGCATCACGACATAAGTTGCACTTAACAGCGCCAACACGAGCATTCCTCAGAGACCGGCGATACCGTATGTACGTTATATTAGTCTATACTGTATGAGTATTTCTTACAAATAGTCCTTATATGGTTGTCAGCTGTAGGCTACAGTTCGTTATTAACTTGTGTAAACATAATTTTCTGACTGACTTTACAAACCTCAAGTACTGCAGTGCAGGAGTTGAGTCATCGTCCTCATGGGGTAAGTCATCGTCCTCATGGGGTAAGTCATCGTCCTCATGGGGTGTCATCGTCCTCATGGGGTAAGTCATCGTCCTCATGGGGTAAGTCATCGTCCTCATGGGGTAAGTCATCGTCCTCATGGGGTAAGTCATCGTCCTCATGGGGTAAGTCATCGTCCTCATGGGGTAAGTCATCGTCCTCATGGGGTAAGTCATCGTCCTCATGGGGTAAGTCATCGTCCTCATGGGGTAAGTCATCGTCAAGTCATCGTCGGGGGTAAGTCATCGTCCTCATGGGGTAAGTCATCGTCCTCATGGGGTAAGTCATCGTCTCATGGGGTAAGTCATCGTCCTCATGGGGTAAGTCATCGTCCTCATGGGGTAAGTCATCATCCTCATGGGGTAAGTCATCGTCCTCATGGGTAAGTCATCGTCCTCATGGGGTAAGTCATCGTCCTCATGGGGTAAGTCATCGTCCTCGTGGGGTAAGTCATCGTCCTCGTGGGGTAGGTAAGTCATCGTCATCGTGGAAGTCATCGTCCTCATAAGTCATCGTCCTCATGGGGTAAGTCATCGTCCTCATGGGGTAAGTCATCGTCCTCATGGGGTAAGTCATCGTCCTCATGGGGTAAGTCATCGTCCTCGTGGGGTAAGTCATCGTCTCGTGGGGTAAGTCGTCATAAGTCATCGTCCTCGTGGGGTAAGTCATCGTCCTCGTGGGGTAAGTCATCGTCCTCATGGGGTAAGTCATCGTCCTCATGGGGTAGTCATCGTCCTCATGGGGTAAGTCATCGTCCTCATGGGGTAAGTATCATGGGGTAAGTCATCGTCCTCATGGGGTAAGTCATCGTCCTCGTGGGGTAAGTCATCGTCCTCGTGGGGTAAGTCATCGTCCTCGTGGGGTAAGTCATCGTCCTCATGGGTAAGTCATCGTCCTCGTGGGGTAAGTCATCGTCCTCGTGGGGTAAGTCATCGTCCTCGTGGGGTAAGTCATCGTCCTCGTGGGGTAGTCATCGTCCTCATGGGGTAAGTCATCGTCCTCTGGGGTAAGTCATCGTCCTCGTGGGGTAAGTCATCGTCCTCGTGGGGTAAGTCATCGTCCTCATGGGGTAAGTCATCGTCCTCGTGGGGTAAGTCATCGTCCTCGTGGGGTGAGTCATCGTCCTCGTGGGGTAAGTCATCGTCCTCGTGGGTAAGTCATCGTCCTCATGGGGTAAGTCATCCTCATGGGGTAAGTCATCGTCCTCATGGGGGTAAGTCATCGTCCTCATGGGGTAAGTCATCGTCCTCGTGGGGTAAGTCATCGTCCTCGTGGGGTAAGTCATCGTCCTCGTGGGTAAGTCATCGTCCTCATGGGGTAAGTCATCGTCCTCATGGGGTAAGTCATCGTCCTCATGGGGTAAGTCATCGTCCTGGGGTAAGTCATCGTCCTCATGGGGTAAGTCATCGTCCTCATAAGTCATCGTCCTCGTGGGGTAAGTCATCGTCCTCGTGGGGTAAGTCATCGTCCTCGTGGGGTAAAGTCATCGTCCTCGTGGGGTAAGTCATCGTCCTCGTGGGGTATCATCGGGGGTAAGTCATCGTCCTCATGGGGTAAGTCATCGTCCTCATGGGGTAAGTCATCGTCCTCGTGGGGTAAGTCATCGTCCTCGTGGGGTAAGTCATCGTCCTCGTGGGGTAAGTCATCGTCCTCATGGGGTAAGTCATCGTCCTCATGGGGTAAGTCATCGTCCTCATGGGGTAAGTCATCGTCCTCGTGGGGTAAGTCATCGTCCTCGTGGGGTAAGTCATCGTCCTCGTGGGTAAGTCATCGTCCTCGTGTCATCGTCCTCGTGGGTAAGTCATCGTCCTCATGGGGTAAGTCATCGTCCTCGTGGATTTATTAAAACGCCCACAACACATAATAATTATGTATTTCGGCTTTTATTTCCCCATTGTGTTTTTTCCCTCATTTACTAGTGTGACCATTACACTTTCGGAATATATATATATATATATATATATATATATATATATATATATATATATATATATATATATATATATATATATATATATCATGATGTAGATCCACAGTGAAAACGTAGATGAGATAAATATTGATAAAAACACACAGCAACATGATGTTTATATTTATAAACACTTCCTGCCACTTGCAAGGGCGGATCTTGGGGGCTCTTGGGGGTCCGGACCCCCCCTTTTCGCCAGAAAATTCCAGTACTTTTTCTTTAATGCAGTATTATACTCAGGCATTTTGGGAGAGCAAAAAGTATTTACTATTGACTTCAGAATATCTCCTAATATTAAGTGCGCATGGTCTCAAACTAGCCCCCACCCACCTCTTGGACCCCCCCTTCACGTTCTCCAGACAGTTTACATACAAATATCTAGCCACATTTGTTTTTATTCCACATGGTGTATCTATTATTATTATTTCCCCTTCCATAGCAGTATTAATTAATTGTTATGACAGCAGACATATTCATTATAATAAGTCCGCCTTCTGTTACCTTTTTCTTAAATACAAAGTTAATACTTGATAAAGGTGACGTTATATTAGGACCAAATCTTCTTCCTTCAACAATGTTTTATAAAGTTTAAAGCTATAGGTAATATTTTACCTTTAAGAGAATAGACAAATATCTTTTACTTAGCGGTTTTACGCTTTTACTTGCTGCTTGTGACAGTAATTTGTCGACAATAATGATTGGTTTAAATGAAGGTTTAATTAAAACCCCTTGATTTAAATATCTCTAAGCGTCATAGAAGATATCGTCCAGGTGATTGGTGGAGCGTATCGTGATGTCATTGTATGGGAAGAAGTGCAATAGGTTGATTGGACTAAAGGAACCCTACGTCATCACCTGCCATGAGATATGAGCTCTGATTGGCCGTCGTCAAGATGATACTTTGGCGGGAAGACCGACGGCGTGGGCTGAAGCGTCGGCTGGCGAGGCTTCATAACACCATTGTTTACATTTATACTTTTTATCATTTCCGTTGAACTAGAGATTAGTTACAAGTTGTTATTATACCCAAAGTGAGGTGAAGTATTGTAGATTATCCTGATGTACAAGATATTACCGGCGGGTGAAGGATATTGTCGTTAAAAGGTAAAAATCAACAAGTTGTAGTGTGGAGGAGGAGAGGCCGGGGGCGCCATCTGGCCAGCCGAGGAAGAACATCATCCCTTTATAAACCTGTCCAATAAACCTAAGACAAAAGACACCTACAGTCACCAGCGTCTCACCCCTGTAACCTTTAATGACACAACTCCATATTAAAGTGCCTGAGAGGACGTATTAATAGAAGATAAAACCATAGTGGGTGAGTGAAGGACGCCGTGGCCAGTTTAAAGGTCCTCCTCCACTCAAGGAAGGTCACCTGAGGAAATGGCTGAGGGTGTAGCAGGAGGTGGTGGAGGAGAACCAGTAGCTCACAGGACCAGAGGAGCCCTTGAGGAGATACCAAGACCAGCCACCATCACCCTCCGTCACACACAACTAGGTGATCATACTCTGGTGTTTCCTGAAGAGATTTGAGGTTTATTCAATATAATTCGTTATATAGATTGATACATACTGATAATTGAATAGATATATTACCTAATCTAATGCTAATCTAACCTTGCCGTATACTTATCCTCATAATTAGTTTTAAGGTGGTTTATCACAGGTGAAATAAGCTGGGGTGGAGATTCTTCAGGTGATCCCATAAACTATCAACTCACACACATACTAAGATACTGTCATATTCACACACATACTCACATTTGCTCTCATACTCACACACACACTCACAAAGTTGCTCTCATACTCACAAACACTTGGACAATCATGTAATAGAGGTCTATGTGGTCAGGATGCTATCTCAACATTTTGTTATTGATCTTGGCTTTAAGTTTTAATATCTGCTGAATCCTGCATGCCCCAACTAACGTATTGTTTTAACAGATCGACTGATTTACACTTTGCTACTGTTGCTTGTAGCCTCGTCCACTTGTCAAACGCTATTACAGTACGCGTACTTCCTTACGTTCATTCTTCATCTCTGTTTAGGATTATTTTTTCCCCATGTCATCTTGTGGTTGAGTCTGTTCTTACTTCAAAACTATTTACACATGGTTCTTTGTCATGTGTTATTCATGATCTTAAAGTACCTAACATCATCATATCAACTCCAAACCTTCTGTTTGCCACTGTGGGAAGTGTCAGCCGCTCTATATGTGTTAAGGAATTTAATGATGGCACCAGCCTGCATTGGACTTTTTTTTTTTTGCCTCTACTTGTCTATATTTTATAAGCTTATTCAGTACTGTGGTCAGACCAGAGATGTGTACAGAAAAGGTATTTGAAGATTTCCTCATTCAGTCACTCAAAGGTTCATATCAGACCCATAATTTTGTTCACCTTATTTTTTTCAGCAAGGTTTTCCTAAAATCTATTAGTGGTGCCAAGATGTGTTCATTAATTCTTACATCCTGTATTGAAGCTCTTATGATAGATTTACCAGTTCCCATATACAGGGTATTTACATTTCTTAGGATGATATTTCAACAACCATTATTATCTGACCATCTTGTCATCTGTTTGGTTATCCTCTGGCAGTCTGTGGCTGTCCATAAGTTAAGTTATTTGAATATTTAGTGTCATCCACATAACTACAGCAAAACCTTCATTTAACGCTCATAAATATAATTGGTATAGTCCGTTGTATGGAGGTTCTGTATAGGACTATATAACGGATTACACTCCCATATAGTTCGTTAAATAGAGATCGCACTGTACATGTATGCCTCACTCACTACAAAGCATCAGGGAGGTCATTTATATAAACAAGAAATATTAAGAGACCTTGGACTGATCACTAGGGCACCCCAGCTAGTACTTCAGTCCACCCTGAGGTTAAATTATGTCATCAGCTGCCACTCTCTGTTTCATGTTTTCCAAAAAGCACTAATTTATTTGATGTAGCCTTGTCCAGTTTTATTTTAATTTGTGAAGCAGTCATCAGTGTGGGACCTATGAGAGGCCTTTATGATATGACGGTAAGCAACATAGCTCTCCATCATCAGTGTTTCAGTCCAGCTATCCAACACATTAAGTCACTGTAGTTCACCAGATATGAATAAATACTGTGGCTCATTTATTAGTTTATTTTTCTTTAAGTGGTCCATTGTGTCTTCCTATATTACAGATTCCATTATATTACAGGAGACATGGGTCAAGGTTATTGGTCTATAATTTCTTAGTTTAATCATTTCCACTTTTTTTAAATGCTGTTAGCTATCTTTGCTGCTTTCCACACATCTGGGACAACCTCTTCCCTTTTGGAGTACTGTACACAAACATATCTCTCGACCTTTGCAAGAGACTCCATGACAAGATTTATCTGTACAAATAGCATCTGTCTGTCCCAAAACCTAACCTAATGTCCTCCCAGATAGCTTGAGGATTTTTGATCATCAGGTGAAATAAGCTGGGATGGACTACTCTGCAGGTGATATAAAATTGCAGACTTTTGCAACCTGACCTCAAACCTACATCCATATTGATATTTTTTTTAAGACTTGTTACTCACGAATTACTTGTGTTGTCTCATATACTGTATAGAGTTCCAAGGACTTTGTATTACTCATGTATAGAATTTTATAAAATCTTGTTACTCATGTATGATTCATCTCACCTTCAGGCAACTTGGACAATGGCCCCACCTGGTCTGCCACCATCAACCTACCATCTTCATATCTCTCCCCAACACCCTCACCCGATGAACTTGTCATCCGGGGGCGAGGCAGGAGATCGCTGCCCTTAGAATGGTCTCCCATCCCAATAGAGAGCCCCATTAAACGCACGGAGAAGACCCCAATCAAGAGGTCTCCGGGGAAAGGCATGATCGTCCTCCGTTCATCTCCGAGAAAACGGCTTCAGTTGAACGACACTCCACCCAGAGACTTGTTGGACCACAGACGGGTATGATGGCTCGTCTCTAGTGTCTGGTAGATCACTGTTGAGGAGTAAAGCATTATTATTAGTACAGGTAGTATTATTATTATTATTATTATTATTATTACTACTATTATTATTATTACTATTACGTACTGTATTTTCATTTTGTTGCTCTAAAATTGATTGATACAGTAGTGACTTCTTGTGAGAGGATTATTGTACATTTTCCTTAACACCTTGAGTACTATTGTGACTTTAGATCAACTGAACAATACCTGTACTCAACCCAACTTATTTCACCTGATGATTTAAACACCCTCATACTACCTGGGGGGTTAGGTTAAGGTGTTTAATTATCAGGTGAAATAAGCAGGGTGGGCTAATCATCAGGTGATCCATATATATACACTTTCTTGGTTTTATGGACAAGACGCAGAGATCCACAACTACCTGTATTTCACTATTTCAATAAAGAGTAAAATCCTGTGCCCTTTTTTGTTTTTATCTGAATCTCGTGTGTAATTAGATTATCGTATTTATTTAATATTTCGTTACAGAAGATGATGCAGATGTCGCCCATAATGAAGAAGTGTCGCAGCCTCACCGTCTCCCCTGTACAGTCACCTCCAGAAGTGGCCATAAAGGGGCTCTCACAGAACCAGCTGGTCGATGTCCTTAACCATGTCCTCACCCAGCACCCGGAGCTTAAAGGTGCTTATGTCGCTGTTTATCTATTGTATCTGACTTAATTATCATGTCCTGTGTGTCTCTTTCTCTCTCCTCTCTTTCCCTCTCTCTCTTCTCTACTCTCCCCTCTCTTCCCTCCTCTCTCTTCCCTTCCCATCTCCAGAAAATCTACTGTGCACCTACAATAATTAACACTATAGTTGTAAATGGTCACAGTAAATGTTGGAAGTGGATACCATTCCCAATATTTACTGTAGGTATAACAAGGTATATAACACTATAAGTATAACAAGGAATATGACACTATAGGTATAACAAGGTATAAATGTAATGTTAATTATTATAGGTACACAGGGACTTGTAGATCACCCTCCTGTAGTATTGTAACGCAGTAATATAGTCCCACTCTTCATCACTGGTCATGTTAGTGGCCAGTACAGTACAGTATAATGATAATGTAATAGTACCTACCCCCATTATAAATATCTACACCAACTGGGGGGAGATGACACACACATCCTGTCTACACTGTGATATGTGATGCCAGGTCCACATAACTGACCACTGGGTTGACACATTCTGAACCAGTGTGTCATATATCAGGTTCATGCAACGCTGACTTGACTATCTCGGTCTGTGTATGTGAAATATGACATGCCGGGTGTGTGTGTGATTGTTGTGGTTTATCCCAGGAGGCCATCATATGGGTGTGGTACAGTGGGTCAATCTTTCTTCACCCCTTCAATGAATAACAAAATCTGGACTTGATTTTTTTTTCACCCCAAAAGCTTCATACATGAGAGATATTACCACACACACTATCAAAATCTCTACACTGACCATATTATTACATAAATATTTCCTACTGCTAATTTATCTTTCTAATAACACTTTCATTAATCTTCCTCTTGAAGTTAATCTTGCTTTCTGCTGTAGCATTTTCACCTTATAGAATGTTGTTAAGTTTTGTGCAGAACAGAAGCTGTGGGCGTTTCCTTGATGATCTGAGCTCCCAGTTGGCCTCAGTAGTTGTGTGTGTGGTAGTGGTAGTTGGTGATGCCTGTTAGGACCAAATACTCCATAGGGGAAGTGGGAGATTGATGCAGTGGCGAATGTAGAGTTGATTTGGATTTGAGTGGGTAGAAATTCATATAGTACATACACACAGACAGACATGAAAACACACACACACACACATGCACGCACACACACACACATACACATAAACATTTACCAAGGATAACATAATGTATTAGTAACAATTATTTCTAATATGGTAGGAAGAAGAGTTGAGGATCACCAGGAGATGGAAGGATGGAGTGCAGGACATACTAGAGGTGAGGGGGAGTGGGTGTCCTTATAGCAGCAGTGTGCATGAGTAACTGATGTGAACATGGTATTGAGTGGATTCATAACACGTTGATGGGTGGCGCTGGGTTATGTGAAGCAGTATTTGAGATCTTGTGTGTGTGTGAAGCGATGAGTAAACCTGAGAGTTATATGGGATTGTGGTTTTTGTGTATGTGAAGCTTACATTACTGTAAAATTAAGCACCCTGCTTTTTATTTCACCTGAATATTAACCACCCCAGTTTATTTCACTTTAAGATGAACCACCCTAGGTTATGTCACCTTAAGATTAACCACCCTTACACTAACCTCACCTAATATAACCTAACGCTCTAACCTATCCTAACATAACCCCACCAGGGAATATTAGGGTGTTTAATCATCAAGTAAAATAGGTTGGGGTGGCTAGTTTTCATAAAATTAAAAAAATTAGTTGATTGCATTGTAGGTGTGTTGTCACTGACCCACTTTTGTGTGTGTGTATGTACATTGTGTTTGTTATACTTAATTGATACAATTTTTTCGCAGACGAGATCTCAGACATCTTGCCACAGCCAGACCTGAAGCAGATGGAGGAGAAACTCAATCAACAGAAGAAATGTATCTTCAAGGCCCTACCCGTCTCCCGGCTCGCCTCTAAGACGGACTCGCCAGCGTACAACAAAGCCGGTCCCCACTTGATTAACTTTAAGGTTAGTCATCGTCATTAACGTTCATTCCTATACCCAACATTTTACCGAGCATCTTGACATCATGTCTTTGTTTGTCCGGTAATTATTTTTATTTGTTTTTCTCCGAGATAATTTTTATTTTATTTTATTTTATTTTTTCATATTTTTTTGAAAAAGATTATGTTGACTTTTCGGATCACCTGAAGAATCTCTGCCAAACTGTATTTCACCTAAAGATTAACTATCCTAAAGCTTATCTAAATTAATGCTAGTCTAACCTTCCTAGCACGAACCTGACATAACCTAATGCTTATTATGATGTAATCTAACCTCACCTGTCCTGACCTGACCTCATACTCCAAATAGTTTTAGGGTGGTTAATCCTTTGGTGAAATAAACTGTGGTGAATATTCTTCGGATGATTCAACTTTGTTTATATCTAATACGACCAAACTAAGCTCGGTCTAATCTAAACTAACCTAACCCGTGTTCATCATATTATACATATATCATCGTAATTTCCTCAGAAGACCATCAACGAGCAATGTGGCCAACTGGTGGAGGCAGAGCAGTGGGTGAGTTTGGTGGACTACACTCTCCTGGCCTGGTCGTACGTGAGGGCCACGCCTCTCTGGGACTCTCACCACCACAACAACTGCCGTCGCCTGTGCTTCAAGACCCTCGCTCAGCACTGCCTCCAGGGCCTTACAAAATTACAGTGGACCCAAGACCAGCTGGAAAACCTCTTAAAGAAGTAAGTCTTCCCTCATCTGGGAAGGTTGTAGCGTATAGTATCTCGTTAATTAATTCTACGTACAGTTACTTCACGGACACGTGCGTTAATGAAGCGTTGTGTACAGACAACTTTCTTGGCCTATTACAGATTGGTTATCCCTTATCAGAGTTTTATTTTTTTCGAGCGATATCCCATTTTAGGGTAATCAGACCTTTGGGGTGAAATTTAGAGTAAGGAAAAATCTTGCAAAATCTAGGGTAATTAAGGAATTCTTGGGATAATTTAATCATATTTTAAGGTAATTACTATGTAGTAGTAAGTAAATTAATGTTAAAGGAATGTCACGTTTGACTGACTGACCGTTTTTTTATTTCTTATAACAATTCAGCTTCAACACAACCTAGGTAAGTCTCCCATTAATACAAAAAATCTATACGTTTACTTTTCTTATGATACTATGTTGTGCTCTCACTTCTAAGGAAATGTCCTTAGACTGTTATTTATGATACTTTTAAAGTACAGTAATGTCTCCTTTAGCCGGAATCCCTCAAACCCGGAACTCTCTGATAGCCGGAATTGAAACTTTCTTGGAAAATCTTTCCCAAAGCCGGAATTTTCTGGAAATTTCCGGCTTTGGGAACGATTTTCCAGAAAATTCCGGGGATGGGGGATATTTTTCTGGATTCGAGAGATGATGTAATGGGCAATTTCTGGAACTTCCGAGAACATTTTTCCGTTACCCGGAAAATTCCGGGGATGAGGGATTTTTTCCAGCTTTGAGAGAGTCGTCTCGTTACCCAGAAATCTCTCATTCCCGGAAGTGATCTGCACCAATGGTTCCGGCTAACGGGGATATCACTGTACAATATCGTATGTTAAGTGTTTTAATGTATAGCAGGGGGTCCTCGTTATCAGCGATTAATGGAGACCAGAAAAACACCACTGATAATGAATCCACTTAAAGTGGGGAATTAATCCCATAAGAAATAATGGAAATAGGTCAAATTGGGACCATGATATACACAACACTCAAAAAAAATTATATGATATTTTTTAACAATTAATTACCATAGAAACATTTGTACACACTCACTCCAGTAGTTCATTGAGACAAAATACCTATTATAATGTTTTAAAAATAAATAATTGTAACATAATAAAATATTTTTATTTGCTTACCATCAAAATATGGTTGTTCAGGTATGTGCAGGGCACAAGTGATGTTGATCACTCATTCACCGCTCTTCTTTCTTCTTTTACTTTATCAATTCTAATTTTACATCTATACTATAGCTGTGTGCTTCCTTTTGAGAGCTGCACCACCCTGTTTGGGTTGAGAACTCTATGGCTACAAAAATGATAAAATGATTCACCACAACATGCTCTAAAAGACACAACAAAGGCAGGAGTAAACACAACAGTGCACTGATCCAGCAAAACAAAGCAGGAGACTGGTGCGGGGTTAATCTTGTTCAGTGAGGCCTTATATAAAATTGTTAATGGATTATTGGCAAAGAACACATAGTGACCACATTGACACCATTTTAAGATAATAATATTTTAGGGTAATTTGATAATTTTGGGGCATTTCAGAAATAAACATGGATAAGTACAGTATGTATGTGTAATGAATAAAGGTAAGATTCAGGGTGCTTAGTGCTTCAGAGTCAGGTGTCATGGTGATGCCAAACAGACGGTACTGTACAGTATTTCATACACAAAATTAATAAAAATATTTCATAAACTACCTGCAGGCTATATGCATCCATATGCTGTTAATGAAATATAAATGATTTTCTTGTATAGACTTGGGCCCCATCCCTGCTAGGTGAGCTACTGCATTATACAGGATATAGGTACATATATTCCAAAAATATCCCAATCTGAGACCCTTTCGGCCCCAAGCTTTTCGATAAAGGGATACTCGTCCTGTAATATCATCTGGGGATGTGAAATCATGTGATTGGGGTAACCACAGAATATCTCCAACATGATTTGGGAATGTCTCTTGCAACAGCTGCATTCTATATTATTTGGCAAGTTGCACCATCCTGTTTTAAGAAAACACTATTAAAGTTTGGTCTACAATTCTCTCCTCAGTCCAAATCACCATTCATAGTCACAGTTACTTCCCACCACCACCACCACACTTACCTTCTGGCTGTGTGAAGGTCTCTCAGGCTCTCAGGGGTTGAGTGAGTGTTTGCCTTGCTCCATATATGACACTTTTTGTTTGTGGATATTAACCCAATAATTGAAAATGTGCCTCATCAGACATACTGCCAGTATTAATTGTTGTGTCATCTTGTAGTTTAGAGTAACACAAATTAACACCTTCATGATAGTTCTCATACTTTCTCTGTTAATTTCTGGTTCTTAAGACTTCCTTCTCACTGTTAACTTTCTGCTCTGTTGAACTCTCTCTCTCTCTTAATTGATTTCCTTCACTCAGATCTTTCCACAGCTGCCACACTGTCAGTTGTCTTACGTGCTTTAACATAACACAATATTGAATTCCTTGTGGGACTTCAAGCAATTTTTTTTTAGATTTATTGCCAAAATTATGCTCTACAATGCCAGCTCTATGCCCTACACCCCATTTGTTCAGTTATCCAAAATTTATCCCTTAAGTTTACCTTGTAACGAATAAAACATGGCATTTACCTAAATCTTTGGTACCATTTTTTTTTTATTTACACTTCTCACCCTGTGTCATACCCCCTGAGGCTGTAAAGACTGTCACCTCCTTACACGACACATGTGACATTACTGTTTTATTTTTATTTTTTTTTTTTTTTTACAATGTTTTATTGTTATTCATATGGTTTATAACTATTATTTGATTTATTGTGTTCATGATTTTATCTGTATCAACATTTTGGCTTGAATGCATTATCATTATTATCACCACCACCATCATTATCACCGCCACTACCATCTTTTAGCCATATACTGTACTGGGTAGATCAAGTTTAAGTCTCTCCTTCCTTTATCATACAGGCTGGAACAATGCTCTTCAGATCACGAAGAAATGGACCAGTGTATACAGCACGTGCAGACTGTCCTTAGCAACCAGCAGTGACCCAGGGGAGAGGTGTTGTCTGTATTTTACTCTAGGTATAAGTAGTAGTGCTGGGGGTGATATGTGTTCTCTGTTTTACACAATTTATTTCTGAAAAGTAGCCATTAATTTTTGTACTACGATTTTGGTGGTTATTGGATGTTAATTCTGGAAAGTGTGTAGTATAGTATTTAATGTTTGTCAATTTTTCTTTTTTGTGTGTAAATAAGATGAGATTTATTGTCTTGCTTGGTCTCCAAAACTTACGTACAAGTCATAGGAGGTTTTGGGGACTCTGATTTATCGTAGCTGTGATTTTTCACCAAATGCATTCAAACACGGAAACTGTCTCCATATTGGCACCTCAACTTTGCATGGGTACAAGTTGAGAAGATATGTTTTGCTGTTGACTAAGAGAAAAGAGGAGCATTGTATCCATCATCATAATACTAATGTGAGAAATTAATTAAAGATTTATTTATTGTCTTTAAACTGAGGATCCATGTAGAAGTGCTAATGAGTCTTCTCACGTGGGGTAGATCAGTCAGAAACCTTGTGTTTTAATCCTTCGCAGGAATAACCCAAGTCATGTTTAAAGGGGGGTCATGTATGTGAAGAATATTGTGTGTATATGTGTTGCTAAATATCAGTTTGACGCCTGACCTAGTGCGATACAGTAGGTGGGGAGGTACTGCACTCCACTCCTCTCCTCACATGGTTAAGCCCCTGGGGTGCAAAAGTTGATTCGGCACTGATTTTTATTAGTTTCCTGGTCCAATGATCACAACTGAACACAAATTTGCTTCCAGGATCATTATCATGCCAATTTTTAACTCCTGAATACTCTTATAAGTAATGAATCCTGAAATTTTGGGGGATATTGAATATATTTGCATGGTATAAAAAGTCAAATTTACCATAAACATCAGAGAAATATTAGAAACTTTACGTTGTGTTGTAAATATGACCTATTGTTGGCTTTTAGACTCATCTTAGCTAGAACTTAAAAGAGAACCATTGGTGTGAGCTGCATGTTATTTATTGTTTATATTATACTGTACAGTATACTGTACATGACATACAGTCTGTAGTTGTGTGAAGGGCTGTCATGGACCACCACTTGTCACTTGAGCTTCCTCCCACTTAGACATTTTATGGCATTTGTGAGAAGCAGGAAATATTACCATACAGTTTACTTTGTTCTTAACCACCAATGTGTGGGGTCCCCCTCTCAGCTGAAAAAGATCGTCTGGCGTTGGCCAATTAGAATATTAAACGTGGTGTCCCCAAAGTGAAGGGGTTGATTACCAGGTGTATACATTATATTTGTCTCAGCTGTGTTCAGTGTACAGTACTTCTCTCAACTTCAGAGCATATTGTAAGTGTACAGAAATTAACACATCATGTATCTAGGAGTTAACAGAGTTGGTAATTGTATACATTCAAGTTAACTTATCTTGAATATTTCTAAGAGTTAATGAAGGTGATGTTAGTTTGTACTCAAGTTAGTGCATCTTTAACATTTCTAGCAGTTAACAGAGATGATCCCTCCCCCCCTAGGTACTGACCCTAGTCCTGTACTGTATGGGAATTCTCCTCTTATGGTTCACACTGAGTCTTGTCTTTGCTCTTGTAGAACAGTTCACTCTTAGGACGCATGTGTGTTCCTGCGACACCACCACCACTCCTACAGGATTACAGTGTATTTAAAAAAGAAGAAGTTGTGAGTTGTTAACCAGTGCAGTTATCCAATACGCCTGAGCCAGTGTTTAACACTGGATTACACAGCTCACTATCTCTGGGTGTAGTGGTGGTAGTTGTATTAAATGAACGTGTCTACACCTTAACATATTACTAACTCTGGGTGTTCCAGCCAGTATGGCCGTATGACCAGCCATCTTGTAACACGAGATGAAAGTAATATGTCTTCTCATTGTATCCAAGCTACTGACCATCACGGAGGAAATTACTTATTATTTCATCTGTTTATTTGCTGTAATTATCTTTGACATAATTGTACTGTATATACACAAAATTTGTGCCTCATAATCTACACTGCCACTTGTGCTTGTCAATTTCTGAATGTTTAACAGGGAAGGTATATAATTTTTTATTTGTTTTAATTCAGATTTTTAATTAAGCCAACATTGAACTTCTTGAGAAAGTCGATTAATTTTTCCCCATCCTTTTCAGCGGTTGTTGAAGGAATGGTGTGTTTAACCTGATGCCGTTTATTTTAATTGTCACAAATATTAATTTATGGGCGTGTTTTTTTCTGTCCTTATAATATATTAATGTTTTCTTTTTTATTTTAGACACTTCTCCAGTAGTACTGTGGAGGTTGTTCTGTGTTGATGTTCCCCTCACCCTCTCCCCTCTTAACCTGAACCCTAACTTAGCACACACCATGAAATGTACAAATATAAAGTGTAAAATTGAAGCTAGTTCATTAAGATGTGAAACATGGTTGACTGGATGATTCCAGCCCTCCAACCAATGTCACTACTTGAGAAACACAGGTGCTCTGCAAAGTTAATTATAACAATGCAACATAAAAACACATTTAGAATCATCCAAGAAAACTGGATAGAAACAGTGAATGGAAAACATGATTGAGTCTTCATTTGAGGTAGAACAGTTGACGACTACAGGGCATCCCCGACTTACGAACAATCGCCGATACAAACAAGGTCAATTATTTTAAAAATCTGACAAATACAATGGTTCATAGCAGTTATGTACGAGAACTATTTTGTGCGGCGTAGAAGGCAGGTAGCGCATGGAGAGTGATGCGTTGCACCCAGTCATCCGCCTTGAGGGACCAGGAGCGGCAGTGCGCTTTACCCTCATCGCCTAAACGTGTGTGATCGAGTGAAACTCCAGAACCAAAGGGATTCATTACAATAGAAATGGCAGTTGGTTTCAGGCTTATTGAAGAAGGATTGTTTAAATTTGAACAGCAAGATCCCAACATAGCAAGATTCACCAAGGCTCATAGAAGTATTACTGAATATCTTTGATGCTAAAGAGAGATTTATGATGGAAAGAAGAAAGTTTTAGTTCAACCATCCCAATAAAGCCTCTGTCACTCATGCCCATCTCTACCTGCAAGCCAGTCCCAGGTTTTAATGCAAGTGTTAAACTTTAATTTTTACTTTTCTTTGCAGTATTTTGTCATTCAATTTCTTCTTTTCTCTTAAATTAAATGTTTCAAGATATATAAAAGGACTTGGGCTATGATATAGTCCACATAGGGTATATGTTCCGAGTTACGTACATTTCCAACTTGAGGACGACCTCGGGAACGGAACATGTTCGTAACCCGGGGACCCCCTGTGTGTAGGTCAGTTTTCCATTTGTCTGATTCACTGCCTCAGGTACAGTAAGTGTATCATGGAGCAGTTATAACGGTTGAGTGTGTGTTATATTTTCAAGTACAAGATCACAACAAAGTGTATGTAGTCAGTTGTAGTTAGATTGTGGTAATAGTCACTGATGTAAGTTATCATATACAGTACTGTATTGTGCTCACTACTGGAGGTGACTTAGAGTTAACATTACTGGCAATGAGTCATCATAATGTAAGCATCAAGTTTGTGGGTCAGATCCACATTAAAACATGGAGACATTTTATATATTTATTGAAATATAGATTTTGTTTTCATATTTTAATGTGAATTTGAGAGGTTTCAAGTTGTTATTATTAATGTAAAGTTTGGTACAATTTGCATGGTGAGGTCTTCATGGATCCTCACACTGCGGCAATTCTCGGGTGTCAGACGTGCCTTGTACTGAAGTGTGATAAAAAATAATTTGTGTGCTCAACGTTTTATCTAGAATGGAAATTTTTGTAATTGCTGTATTGTACAGGAGCATCTTTTAGTTTCAGAGCTTTCACAGAATCTTGAGGCTTTTTGAGAGTTTACTCTTATTTTTCCATTTTATGTCAAGGTCATTATTGTGGGTATTAAAACAGTACCCAGTTTACAAATAAAATATATGAAATAATGTCTTCTTTTCTTAATGCTGATTGTGTGCTATTTATCTATCTGTGTGACCTATTGCTTGTGTTTGTCTTGATCCATCTGTTTTATCCATATCTAGAATCTACTAAATGTGCATTACTATCCAGTCTTATTTCACCCACGTCTGCCTAAACCACCTGTGAGAAACATTAACCTCCCGTTTAGAAGAATACGAGGATAAACCAATTAATGAATCACTTACCAAGAAAGGATTTATCTTCCTAGTATAATATTTTCCCCGGATGTGGTGCTGTCAGACGTAGTAACACTCGTATGCAATAGCCTCAGGTTGCTGCATATGAGTTACGAATCGAGAGAGTTTACTTACAAAAAAATCGCTAAAAATCACAAAATAATATGAGGCTGCTGAACACACTCCAGTCCTCTGTGGTAGCCTGTGATGTTGGTGAAGCATAACTGTACATCTGAGACACTGATTTTAGGGAGGTCCAACTTTCACACATAAGAATAATGGGTATTTGACTTGGGATGAAAGAGTATGGTATATGTGGGATGGTGTGTGTGTGTGTATATATGTGGGATGGTGTGTGTGTGTGTATATATGTGGGATGGTGTGTGTGTGTGTATATATGTGGGAGGGTGTGTGTGTATATATATGTGGGATGGTGTGTGTGTATATATGTGGGATGGTGTGTGTGTATATATGTGGGATGGTGTGTGTGTGTATATATGTGTAAGGATGGTGTGTGTGTGTGTGTGTGTATATATGTGGGATGGTGTGTGTGTGTGTATATATATGGGATGGTGTGTGTGTATATATGTGGGATGGTGTGTGTGTGTATATATGTGGATTAGTGTGTGTATATATGTGGGATGGTGTGTGTGTATGTGGGATGGTGTGTGTGGTATATATGTGGGATGGGTGTGTGTGTGTATATATGTGGGATGGTGTGTGTGTGTATAGCGTGGGATGGTGTGTGTATATCGTGGTGTGGTGTGTGTGTGTGTGTATATATGTGGGATGGTGTGTGTGTGTGTATATGTGGGATGTGTGTGTGTGTGTGTATATGTGGGATGGTGTGTGTGTGTGTATATATGTGGGATGGTGTGTGTGTGTATATATGTGGGATGGTGTGTGTGTGTATATATGTGGGATGGTGTGTGTGTGTGTGTATATGTGGGATGGTGTGTGTGTGTGTATATCGTGGGATGGTGTGTGTGTGTGTGTGTATATATGTGGGATGGTGTGTGTGTGTATATATATATGTGGGATGGTGTGTGTGTGTATGTGGGATGGTGTGTGTGTGTATATGTGGGATGGTGTGTGTGTGTATATCGTGGGATGGTGTGTGTGTGTGTGTATATCACGTGGGATGGTGTGTGTGTGTGTGTGTATATATGTGGGATGGTGTGTGTGTGTATATGGGATGGTGTGTGTGTGTGTGTATATGTGGGATGGTGTGTGTGTGTGTATATATATTGGGATGGTGTGTGTGTGTATATCATTGGGATGGTGTGTGTGTGTGTGTATATATGTGGGACAGTGGTGTGTGTGTGTATATATGGCCAGGATGGTGTGTGTGTGTGTGTATATATATGTGGGATGGGTGTGTGTGTGTATATATATATGTGGGATGGTGTGTGTGTATGTATATGTGGGATGGTGTGTGTATATATGTGGGATGGTGTGTGTGTGTATATATATGTAAGGATGGTGTGTGTGTATGTATATGTGGGATGGTGTGTGTGTGTGTGTATATGTGGGATGGTGTGTGTGTGTGTGTATATATGTGGGATGGTGTGTGTGTGTGTATATATGTGGGATGGTGTGTGTGTGTGTATATATGTGGGATGGTGTGTGTGTGTATATATGTGGGATGGTGTGTGTGTGTGTGTATATGTGGGATGGTGTGTGTGTGTATATGTGGGATGGTGTGTGTGTGTTTGTATATATATGTGGGATGGTGTGTGTGTGTGTTTGTATATGTGGGATGGTGTGTGTGTGTATAGGTAGGTTGGGTGTGTGTGTATATCGTGGGATGGTGTGTGTGTTGGCCCATATATGGGATGGTGTGTGTGTGTATATATGTGGGGATGGTGTGTGTGTGTATATATATGTGGGATGGTGTGTGTGTGTGTGTATATGTGGGATGGTGTGTGTGTATGGGATGGGTGTGTGTGTGTGTATATATGACAGGATGATTTGTGTGTGTGTATATATATGTGGGATGGTGTGTGTGTGTGTATATGTGGGATGGGTGTGTGTATGTCGTGGGATGGTGTGTGTGTGCCTGGGATGGTGTGTGTGTGTATATACGTGGGATGGGTGTGTGTGTGTGTGGGATGGGTGTGTGTGTGTGTGTATATGTGGGATGGTGTGTGTGTATATACATTGGGATGGTGTGTGTGTGTATATATATGGGATGGTGTGTGTGTGTATATATGTAGGATGGTGTGTGTGTGTGTATATCGTGGGATGGTGTGTGTGTGTATATATGTGGGATGGTGTGTGTGTGTCGTGTATATATGTGGGATGGTGTGTGTGTGTATATCGTGGGATGGTGTGTGTGTGTATATATGTGGGATGGTGTGTGTGTGTGTATATATGTGGGATGGTGTGTGTGTATATATGTGGGATGGTGTGTGTGTGTGTATATATGTGGGATGGTGTGTGTGTATATATGTGGGATGGTGTGTGTGTGTATATGTGGGATGGTGTGTGTGTGTGTATATGTGTGGGGATGGTGTGTGTGTGTGTATATATGTGGGATGGTGTGTGTGTGTGTGTATATATGTGGGATGGTGTGTGTGTGTGTATATGTGGGATGGTGTGTGTGTGTGTATATGTGGGATGGTGTGTGTGTGTATATATGTGGGATGGTGTGTGTGTGTGTGTATATATGTGGGATGGTGTGTGTGTGTGTGTATATATGTGGGATGTGGTGTGTGTGTGTGTGTATATGTGGGATGGTGTGTGTGTGTGTATATATGTGTGGGATGGTGTGTGTGTGTGTGTATATATGTGGGATGGTGTGTGTGTGTGTATATATGTGGGATGTGTGTGTGTGTATATGTGGGATGGGTGTGTGTGTGTATATGTGGGATGGTGTGTGTGTGTATGGCAGATGGTGTGTGTGTGTGTGTGTGTGTATATGTGGGATGGGTAATGTGTGTGTATATATATGTGGGATGGTGTGTGTGTGTGTATATATGTGGGATGGTGTGTGTGTGTATATATGTGGGATGGTGTGTGTGTGTATATGTGGGATGGTGTGTGTGTATATGTGGGATGGTGTGTGTGTGTGTGTATATATGGCAGGATGGTGTGTGTGTGTGTATATATGTGGGATGGTGTGTGTGTGTATATGTGGGATGGTGTGTGTGTGTATATGTGTGGGATGGTGTGTGTGTGTGTATATGTAGGATGGTGTGTGTGTGTATATATGGGATGGTGTGTGTGTGTGTATATGTGGGATGGTGTGTGTGTATATATGTGGGATGGGTGTGTGTGTGTGTGTATATATGTGGAAGGATGGTGTGTGTGTGTGTATATATGTGGGATGGTGTGTGTGTGTGTGTATATGTGGGATGGTGTGTGTGTGTGTATATATGTGGGATGGTGTGTGTGTGTGTATATATGTGGGATGGTGTGTGTGTGTGTATATATGTGGGATGGTGTGTGTGTGTATATATTGGGATGAATTGTGTGTGTGTGTATATGTGGGATGGTGTGTGTGTATATATGTGGGATGGTGTGTGTGTGTGTATATATGTGGGATGGTGTGTGTGTGTGTGTATATATGTGGGATGGTGTGTGTGTGTGTGTATATATGTGGGATGGTGTGTGTGTGTATATGTGGGATGGTGTGTGTGTGTGTATATATGTGGGATGGTGTGTGTGTGTATATGTGGGATGGTGTGTGTGTATATATGGGATGGTGTGTGTGTGTATATGTGGGATGGTGTGTGTGTGTATATGTGGGATGGTGTGTGTGTGTGTATATGTGGGATGGTGTGTGTGTGTGTATATATGTGGGATGGTGTGTGTGTGTATATGTGGGATGGTGTGTGTGTATATATATGTGGGATGGTGTGTGTGTGTGTATATGTGGGATGGTGTGTGTGTGTATATATGTGGGATGGTGTGTGTGTATATATGTGGGATGGTGTGTGTGTATATATGTGGGATGGTGTGTGTGTGTATATGTGGGATGGTGTGTGTGTATATATGTGGGATGGTGTGTGTGTATATGTGGGATGAATTGTGTGTGTATATATGTGGGATGGTGTGTGTGTATATATGTGGGATGGTGTGTGTGTGTGTATATGTGGGATGGTGTGTGTGTGTATATGTGGGATGGTGTGTGTGTATGTGTGGGATGGTGTGTGTGTGTATATGTGGGATGGTGTGTGTGTGTATATATGTGGGATGGTGTGTGTGTGTGTATATGTGAGATGGTGTGTGTGTATATATGTGGGATGGTGTGTGTGTATATATGTGGGATGGTGTGTGTGTGTATATGTGGGATGGTGTGTGTGTGTGTATATATATGGGATGGTGTGTGTGTGTATATATGGGATGGTGTGTGTGTGTATATGTGGGATAGATTGTGTGTGTGTATATGTGGGATGGTGTGTGTGTGTATATATGTGGGATGGTGTGTGTGTGTGTATATATGTGGGATGGTGTGTGTGTGTGTATATATGTGGGATGGTGTGTGTGTATATATGTGGGATGGTGTGTGTGTATATGTGGGATGGTGTGTGTGTGTATATGTGGGATGGTGTGTGTGTATATATGTGGGATGGTGTGTGTGTGTGTATATATGTGGGATGGTGTGTGTGTGTGTATATATGTGGGATGGTGTGTGTGTGTGTGTATATATGTGGGATGGTGTGTGTGTGTATATATGTGGGATGGGTGTGTGTGTGTGTATATATGTGGGATGGTGTGTGTATATATGTGGGATGGTGTGTGTGTGTGTATATGTGGGATGGTGTGTGTGTGTATATATGTGTGGG